TGCCTCCCAGGGTCAAGCGATTCTCCTGCCTCAGCCTCCCAAGTAGCTGAGATTACAGGCACATGCCACCATGCCAGGCTAATTTTTGTATTTTTAGTAGGGACGGGGTTTTACCATGTTGGCCAGGTTTATGGGCCATCTTTATATTTTTAATTTTTGTGAATTGTCTGTTCATGTCTGTTGCCTGTTTTTCCAGTGGATTATATTGCCTTTTTACCTCTCCGTTTTTAAGGTTTCTTTATATAGAGAGAATATTGTCTTTATTTGTGAGATTATGTTACATGTTTTCTCCCAGTGTTTTCGTTTGTCTTTTGGCAACACCCTGTTTTGTTATTTTCTTTAAGATGAGTCTCGCTCTGTCACCCAGGCTGTAGTGCAATGGCACGACCTCAGCTCACTGCAACCTCAGCCTCCCAGGTTCAAGCAATTCTCCTGCCTGAGCCTCCTGAGTAGCTGGGATTACAGGCACGTGCTACCATGCCCAGCTAATTTTTGTATTTTTAATAGAGATGAGATTTCACCATATTGGTCAGGCTGGTCTCGAACTTCTGACCTTGTTATATGCCCACCTTGGCCTCCCAAAGTGCTGGGATTACAGGCCTGAGCCAGTGTGACCAACCCTGGGTTTTTTTGTTTTTGAGATGGGGTCTCACTCTGTTGACCAGGCTGGTGTGCAGTGGCAGGATCTTGGCTCACTGTAACGACTGCCTCCCAGACTCAAGCAGTCCTCCCATCTCAGCTTCCCGAGTAGCCGGGACAGGCACGCACCACCATGCCCCGCTAACTTTTTGTATTTTTGGTAGAGATGGGGTTTCGCCATGTTGCTCAGGCGATCCTTCCACCTCAGCCTCCCAGAGTGCTGGGATTGTAGGCGTGAGCCCCACTGCACTAGCCCTGCTCTCTACTATTTTTGATAACTAAGCCACAGTACATGTGGATTGGAATATATCTCTTAACTAATGGTGGGACAAACACACACTCCATAGATAGAGATGCTTGATAAATATCAAGTGCTTGTCCCCTGCCAATACAAATGGTCTTCCCAGCATTTTGTTGTTTTTGAGATAGTCTCACTTTGTCACCCAGGCTGGAATACAGTGGCACGATCTCAGAACACTATAACCTCCAACTCCCAGGTTTAAGTGATTCTCCTGCTTCAGCCTCCTGGGTAGCTGGGACTACAGGCACACGCCACTTCACCTGGCTAATTTTTGTATTTGCAGTAGAGACGGGATTTCAACCATATTGTTCAGGCTGGTTTCGAACTCCTGACCTCAGGTGATCCACCCACCTCGGCCTCCCAAAGTGCTGGGATTACAGGCGTGAGCCACTGCGCCCAGCCCTTTCCAGTTTTGTTGAGACAAGGCTTGTGAGAATGTGATGCAAGTTGTGAACCTTCCCCAGAAAGAAGTGCATATGCACAACACAGCCCGGCTGCATGTGCTCCTAACAAAACAGTTAAGCTCCACTTTGACTTAATCATCTTCATGCTCCACCCACTCCCAGAAAGATGCAAATTGTTTCTGATGCTGAGTGCAGGCCCGTGCACCTCTTTGCTGCCTTGTATGTTGTGCTATGTTGCATCTAACTTGTGGCAGTTTTCTGTTTTCCTGCCACAGATGCAGGCAGTCCTTACCTGGAATGGGGAAGCAGGACTCTCTGGCATGGTGTTTATGCTACCCCACACAAATCTGGGATAGTTGAAATCTTAGCAGTAATGTCCTTTGCCATGTCGGGCAGAAGCTGGCTGCCCACTACGTAAGCTCTTTCTGTGTCGGCACGTGTGGACACGGAGGGGCCGGTGCAGGGAGACTGTAGCTTTGTGCTTACGTGGACACAGTCCTTGACCTCTTGGAGCTTCCGTTTCATTACCCAGCATAGACTCAGCACAGCTAAGTGATGAAGAGAACAGTGTCTGAAGCCAGACTCTCTGGGATTGAATTCAGGTTCCAGCATGTCGGGGCTATGTAATGCCTGGTACCCTCTGTGCCTCGGTTTCTTGAACCTCGTGAGTGACTTAAAATGGGAGAACTTGTAGAACTTGTAGAACAGTGCCTGGCACATAGTGGGTGCTCAGGAATTGTTAGCTTTTATCATCACCAAGCACATAATCCATATTTGTGGGGTATTGTGAGGTTTAGCTCAAATCATACAAATGTGCACCACACATTTTAATCCATTAAGATGTTTAGAAATAGATTTTTAGGCCAGGGCGTGGTGGCTCACACCTGTAATCCCAGCACTTTGGGAGGCCGAGGCAAGTGGATCACCTGAGGTCAGGAGTTGGAAATCAGCCTGGCCAACATGGTAAAACCCTGTCTCTACTAAAAATACAAAAATTAGCTGGGCATGGTGGCATATGGAAGCTGAAGCGGGAGAATTGCTTGAACCAGGGAGGTGGCGATTGCAGTGAGCCCACATTGTGCCACTGCACTCCAGCATGGGTGACAGAGCAAGACTCTGTCTCCAAAAGAAAAATAAGATTTTTAGAAAATCTTTCACTTTTCAGGAAGAAAGTTTATACTATCTGTGGCTCTGGGTTGAGGAAACAGCATTAATCTCAGAGCTACAGGAGATTGCTTCACTATCGGTTACTTCTAGGAGGATCTTGTCCCCAGTGTCATCCTGTTCTGAGCTCAGCACAGCCCAGGCTGCCTGTGCTCCCCTTTTGGCCAAGTTGATGGATATCTTAGCTTCTCCCAGTTTCTCCCAGGGTGCCTGCTTGTGGGAAGGTGTTTGCTGTTGAAAGCAGTTATGAGCATGTTGTTCACTCGGCAGTGGCCACCTGACCTTTTATGGTGTGTGCAATTTTATCATGTGCTCCTGGCCAAGCGCTACATAGTCAACAGACTCCATTAAGTTGGCAAAAAGCATTCTCAGGCTGCGGACATGATGTGATCTGGCTTTAGTTGGCAGAGGTGCATGGACACTGCCCAGGCTCCTGTTTCTGGCTCCAGCGGAGGAGGAGGAGGATTATTCAGAATAACGGCAGACAGCCGGGTGCGGTGGCTCATGGCCTGGTAATCCCAACGCTTTGAGACGCGGAGATGGGAGGGTCCCAAGCCCAGGAGTTTGAGGCCAGCTAGACAACATGTGAGATTCCATCTCTGAAAAAATTAAAAATTAGGTAGGTGTGGTAGTGCGTGCCTGTAGTCCCAGCTACTCAGGAGACTGAGGCGGAAGGAACCCTTGAGCCTGGAGTTCAGTGTTACAGTGAGCTGTGATGGTACCACTGCCCCCCAGCCTGGGCAACTGAGTGAGGTCCTATTTCTAAAAAGAGATGGTAATAATGACAATAGCAAACACACATTGCATTCTAACCAGGCGCCAGGCGCCATACTGAGGGCGTAAATGCGGCCTCACATCTGCTTCTCACAGCAACCCCACAAGGTAAGTGCTTGTGATTTCTACATCATACAGATGAGGAAACTGAAGCCAAGAGAGATTCAGTAACATGCCAAGGTCACATGGTACGTGTAAGGGGCACGAATGCAGCCCCACAGTCTCACGGCAGAGCCTGCGGCGCTGTACCACACTGACGCCTGAGCAGAGTGCCTCGCTGACTGGAGAGCCACAGAAGCGGCGCCAAAGGTCAGGGGACAGGGTTTCCTGGCATCCACCAGCCTGACAGAAAGACAACTGTGCAGTGCGCCAGCTGGCTTTCTCATGGAGCGTCAACAGAGACACTTCCTCTCCAGCAGAACACAGACCATCTCTCCCCTCCCCACTGTTGGTTTTACCCAGGCTTTGTTTTCTGAGAAAGTGGCTGGGCCTGCTTAACATGCCTAGCAGGGCACTGGGAAATGTACTTCAGCGGCTGGAGCCAGCTAGCTTTCTGGAGTTTTAAAAAGACTTTCAGAAGTTCTATTTCTCCCCCATTGAAAGGAGGGGAAAGGGTTTTTATACAGTCCCTTCTTTTGAGAGAAATGGGGAAACTGTGGGACCAGTGAAGTTCCTTCTGATAATAAAAGAATGATGTCTGTGTCTGAAGCAGGAGGGTTGAGACTACTTTTATGGACGTACTAAGAAACAACTGCATTCAGAAACAGATGAAATTACCAAAGATGAAAGGACTACAGATGTGGAAATGTGTGGCCGCATCGTGTGTGATCACATTAGTATCTATTCCTGAAATAAGGGATAAATTGACAGATTACTAAAGCCAGCAGTAGTAATTGGGCTAGTTTGCTGAGGGCTAGAAGTCGGTATTTCACAGACTGGGATCTGTTTCTTTTGCATGTAAGTAGGGTTTACTTAGCATATTACCAGCAGAACCAGTCCAATTGTAGCTCAGCTTTTCCTAAGCAGTGGGAAAGGCTGCTTATGCTGCCTGAAGGTCGGGGCTGTGGAACGGTCATTTTCTTAGAATTTAACAACACACTCTGAGACTGAAATTCTGTGTTTGGAAATGTGATTCTGTACATACTTGGTGTCCTTCTGATGTCAGTGTCTTCTGAATGTGCATAATCAGCCCCGCTACTTCCTATTTAAAGGCATACACACATGATTTCTTCATCCAGGGATTGGCTGCTTTGTTGCTGCCTGGAAGCAGCTTATCTCAGAATGCTCTTTCTGTTTCAGGTCTCTGTTCTAGGATGCCCTGACCCAGTGGTGCATGAGATCGCCTATCAGTACGGGAAAAATATAGGAATAGCTTTTCAGGTTGGTGTGCTTTTTATTTATAAGAATGGTGGTACAGTGATACAGTCAACATTCTCCCCTAGTGTGTAATCGTGAGAATAGTAAGAATGAAGGCAGCGATGTTGGCATGGCGGTGCTCCTTACATCCCATTTTTCCTTTTGTCAGCTAATAGATGATGTACTGGACTTCACCTCATGTTCTGACCAGATGGGCAAACCAACATCAGCTGATCTGAAGCTCGGGTTAGCCACTGGTCCTGTCCTGTTTGCCTCTCAGCAGGTAGGTTTTATACGTTTTACAAACTCCCTTTGATGTGTCACTGGATAGCCCCACAGAATTGATGTCCCATGGCACAGTGGATGGGATGGCATTTAGATTAGAGATCGCAGGTCTGCATTTGATCCTGGCTCTGAGTGAGATGTTGGGGCTGGTCATTTCACCTTGCTAAGCCCATTTCCCCATCTGTAAAATTGAGAAGATGGCCACCTTCCTCCCAGGGTGGTGGTGAGGTTTAGCTAAGATCCTATTTAAGGTCTTTGTGTCTTGTGGTGTGCTGTAGGCATTTGAGGTAGCATCATGATTATTTCCATACATCTTGGGAACCGGCAAGGTGAATGGTTTCCACATCTTGATTATAGGACTGGAGTTTGGTGGTCCTCAGAGCCCCTGAAAAAGGCACAGGAAGCATCAAGGGCATAAGAAATTCTTCAGTTCTAGAAGTGTAATGAGATTATGCTGCTCTGAGAGGGGCCTTAGAAGTTAGGCCATTGCCTCAAATTTCAAGAATTCAGTGAAGTGCGGCAGACCCAGAGTTCCTCCTTCTTCCAGATGAAGGGACTGGGAAGTAAGGAAGTCAGTACAGCTGCCCTCGCGTCCCCCTTTAATGTGAATGAAAGGCTTAGGAAGCTTCAAAGATGTTCCCACGACTGACAAAGCAGACAGACATCCTTACAGCCTCCTCCAGATGCTGGCCACATGGCTTTGGCTGTACTGAATGTTACTTGAAATAAGTGAGACATTGCCGGGCGCGGTGGCTCACGCCTGTAATCCCAGCACTTTGGGAGGCCGAGGCGGGTGGATCACGAGGTCAAGAGATCGAGACCATCCTGGTCAACATGGTGAAACCCCGTCTCTACTAAAAAATACAAAACATCAGCCAGGCATGGTGGTGCGTGCCTGTAGTCCCAGCTACTCAGGAGGTTGAGGCAGGAGAATTGCCTGAACCCAGGAGGCGGAGGTTGCGGTGAGCCGAGATCGCGCCATTGCACTCCAGCCTGGGTAACAAGAGTGAAACTCCGTCTCAAAAAAAAAAAAAAAAAAAAGACATTAGCTGGTGTTGGGACATCTTGTTAATAGATTTTCATCTCAGTAGTACTTAATTTGTTATGTAGCAAAGCAGTAACGTTCATCACTGTGCCATAAAATTAAGCATTAGCTCTTTGGTCTAAAATTATAGTAATTTTTGGTCTTTCAGAGATTTTGCCTTTATTCTGTCTTCACATTTACAAAGGTCAATCATGTCCTCCATAGAAATCAGTGATTCCACTGTGATACAGAAACCACGGCCCCTGCTTTTGGTGGGTTTCTGATTGGAGAGGAGAGGTTATCTTTCACTCACTATCTAGCACAGCCATTGGCAGCGTGATTCTTACCAGGGGAGGCCGATGTCCTGGGTGGCTGGGCCAGGCTACTTTGGTGACTTGCTAATGGACAGCAGAGACTGGAGGAATAAGGGCTATGAATGGAGATGTTGGGGTGCTTTGTAGGAACACCTGCCCTCATTATTACAAGGCTTCCATCCTGTCAAACTCTGGAGGCTGAGGGAAGAAGTGAAAGGTATGCCGTACATAGGTCCTTTCTCCCAATGGTGACTTGCTAATGGACAGCAGAGACTGGAGGAATAAGGGCTATGAATGGAGATGTTGGGGTGCTTTGTAGGAACACCTGCCCTCATTATTACAAGGCTTCCATCCTGTCAAACTCTGGAGGCTGAGGGAAGAAGTGAAAGGTATGCCGTACATAGGTCCTTTCTCCCAATGAGACTTACTTGCCAGCCCAAAATCAAGGAGCATAATACATGTGCCCACATTTAACAAAAATTTATAAAATCTCCTTTCGTACATTAAGGCATGAGTGAGGAACATCTGAGCCGTGTAGATGTTATGCTGGGGATTATAAAAATGAGTCGTTGGCTACCACCTATACGACTGCAAACATTACTTTCCTACATAGTATCTGTCAGTAATCTACAAGAGATTGAAAAATGCTGGGTTTAAAAAAAAAAAGAGGAAGAAAGATGACTGTGCCCCAGGCTACAGTTTGTGTGCTTCACTGGGAAATCCCAGTCATGAGGCGCCTACTCACGCCCACCAGACAGCAGTGTTCTCATCTGCTCATAAGGCAGTGAGTTTAAAAGAAGGCACGTTACAGCCTCAGAAAAGGGAACACAGAATGAGTCCAAGCAGGAAGTGACTCTGAACAAGACTCATTTCAAAAGTAGACTGATGTTTCTCTCTTGTGACACATGGGCCAGCAGTTAGCCAAATAAGTATTTGTACGTTGTATTCTAATAAAACAGCAAGGTTCAGCTCTGTTGTGGAATACACTGTCAAACAAGAGATTCTTAGCAAGAAATGTGTCAAAAGATTTATGGGACTAAAATTAATTCTGGGTAAAAACAAGTTCCAAAAATAACATAAGAATGTGCAGTTTCTCCACTTACTGTGTTTTCAGTTTACAAAGGATCCGTTCATACATTATCTCTAATCTCACAACTCCTCTTTGTGGTAGATAACGATGGTGGCTATCCTACAAATAAGAAACTGATGCTCAAACCTTGCCAAAATTAAACATCTGGTAAATGGCACAGTAGGGAACTGAACAAGTCTAAGACCAGAATTTATTTCTTATATCTTACGTAGTGTTATTACCACTGGTAATGCTGAGAAGTTAGTAGCTATGACACCCAACAGGCCTTCCCACAGAGCAGGTAACTGACTCCAGGCACTGATGATACTCCCAGCATCCTGTGTCATGTCTTCTTTATTGTGAACATACCTACTTAGTGGAGTCGTTCTGAGATGTGTGGAACCCTTTCCCTTTGGTAGGTGAGTTTTGTTTGCTGATGAGATAGTCTTTGCACTTTTCCATTTGTGCATACTGGACCGGGACAAGCATTCTGGGGAAACCACCATTCCCTTTTTTAACTTGCCATGGCGGGTTGTTTTGGAGTTTGCTCCACGCAGCACCTGACAGACACCTTTTCTTTGGAATTCCTTTATTTTTAACATCTCTCTTAAGGGGTTTCCTGATAATAGTTGGTTCAGAGGATTTAAGAGAGGTTTGGGAATTTCTGGAGGAGTCCCAGGGATGAAAGGATGACAGTGTCCTTCCATGCACGTATGTGTACATATTTTCTTTAAGAACAAAAACTCCATGTTAATTGGATTTTTTGAAAGCTTCAGAAACAAAATGGAGGTGCTTTCCTTTCTCTGGTGAGACTATATTGCTTTACAAATATCTCTTTAAAAATCTTTCCTTTCTTCTGTTTCTCTTCCTTATTTGATAAGTCACTAGACCTAAATGTCAGGCTGCAGCCACGTTTCCAGATGCCATCGCCAGCCCCTGCACCAGCTGCACAGGCCTTATGCTATCGTGGTGACTCGTTGGTGCCTCGGTTACCCAGGTTTTGTTTGGGTAAAGTCATTTATGGGTCGCCTTGGCGGTCCAGTTTATGGACGGATTTCACACTTACAGCACGATTTATCCACAGGTGGTTTTCCTAATCTTGAAGGCAGCACCTGAGCAAACAGTTTTTATTTCTCACTAAATCTGCAGGCAACTACTCCTCCGGCTGTGTTTCTTTTCTTTTCCACATACACACTAAGGGGCCTCGGGAGTGCCTGGGAAGAGTTTGATATTTGCATATTAAAATTGCACACACAACATGTTTGGAAGGAAGGATGTAGTCACTCGATGCAAATATTTTTTCAAATTTTGCTTTCTCAATGCTTTTTATAGTAAAGGCATCAGAGAAAACCACCCAATCAGCACATCTTCCTACACTTGCTGGTACTGTAGAAAAAGCTTGTACATCATAAACAAGATAATGTCACCAGATGCCTAGGAGAGGATCACATCGGTGTTAATGATAAAACCTTCTAGATATCCAGTATTGGTATGTGGTATTAAAAAAACAGGCTGTGTGTGTGGTGGCTCATGCCCATAATCCCAGCACTCTGGGAGGCCCAGGCAAGAGGATCACTTGAGGCCAGGAGTTTGACACCAGCCTAGGCAACATGGCAAGACCCCATGTCTATAAAAAATTTACAAATTAACCAGGTGCATGCCTGTAGTCCCAGCTACTTGGGAGGCCAAGGTGGGAGAATCACTTGAACCTACGAGTTTAAGGCTGCAGTGAGCTATGATTACACCACTGCACTCCAGCCTGGGCGACAGAACGACTCTCAAAAAATAAAACTAAAACCTATTTGATTTGGCTTTTTTACTAAAAAAGTTTATTGGGACTTCCCTGATTTCTTTCTAGTAGCTTGTTTTCTCCTTAAAAGACCAGTAACTAAAGGAAATTACTGGTTTTCATAAGAACTAACCAGTTGCTGGCTCTATAAATTCTGTAAGGATGTTGGCAGTCTCTACATATTTAGAGCTTTGTTCTGACACATATTTTGGTCCGAAAAGAACATTCTTTCTTCGTCTGCGATCATTTGCCTGAGGCTTTTCTATGTATGCCCTATTTTTTCTTCTAGGATTACTAACACCTTGGTCATGGTTACAAGACAACTTATTTCATCCTTCAGGTTCACTGCCAGGGAAAGCCTGGCAGCTGCTGTTAGCACTGACGTGGCCAAGACCAAACACTCTGACATCTTAGAGCTCAAGGGCGGGGCCATGGAGATGAGGAGTCTAAGACCCCAGGGACTAAGGAAGTCATTCAGCTGTGGCAGCTGGTGGCCAAACCAAGACTAGAGCTTGGATCTAGGAAGTGAAGTGATTTGGTGTGCTGGCTTTGTATTCTGTTGATGGTGACAGTTCTAAATAGTTCCTACGTATTACAGAATATAGACTTTACCTTCAATTTCTTTTTTACCTATTTTTTTTCCTGTTCTTGCTGTCAGCTTAATTCAGGCCTTTTTTTTTTTTTTATAACCTACTACAGTAACCTGTTTGTTCCATCTCCATGACTCTTAATTCCATAGTTCTCAACCTTGGCTGCTCATTAAAAATACCAGGGTGGGCAGGAGGCGGTTGAAACTCCTGGTGCCCAGGCTAAACCCCAAGCCAATATAACCAAAATCTCTGGGAACAGGATCTAGGCAACTGTATTTAAACCTCCCCAGGTCAGGTGCACTGGCTCACACCCGTAATCCCAGCACTTCGGGAGACTGAGGTGGGCAGATCACCTGAGGTCAGGAGTTTGAGACCAGCCTGGCCAACATGACAAAACCCTATCTCTACTAAAAATACAAAATTAGCCTGGCATGGTGGCATGCATCTGTAGTCCCAGCTACTAGGGAGGCTGAGGTTGCAGTAAGCTGAGATTGTGCCACTGCACTCCAGCCTGGGTGACAGAGCAAGGCTCCGTCTCAGGAGAAAAGAAAAATCTCCCCAGCTGATCCCAGTATGCAGTCAGTGTTATGCACCACTGCTCAAATCCACTCTACACACTGCTTAAGGCAGAGCTCTGCACATAAAGCTCTCGGCTCAGAAAACTCAGTAGCTTTCAGTTGGCCCTCAATTTAGTACTTAGCGTAGAATGCCCAATTCTCATCCTCATCCGAGGCCAGTGGCTCTCAAAATGTTGGTAGAGATGAGATACCGGTGTCACCTGGGAATCTGTTAGAACTGCATGCCTAGGCCCCAACCCTACTAAATCGGAAACTGAGGGAGGCCCCACAGGCAGTACAGGCATTAGGAATGATACGATCTAAAGTTTAAGAACCATGTTGGGTTTTGTTGTTGTTTTGAGATGGAGTTTCACTCTTGTTGCCCAGGCTGGAGTACAGTGGAGTACAATGGCGCAATCTCGGCTCACTACAACCTCCACCTCCCGGGTTCAAGTGATTCTCCTGCCTCAACCTCCTGAATAGCTAGGATGACAGGCACGCACCACCACACCCAGCTAATTTTTTGTATTTTTAATAGAAATGGGGTTTCACCATGTTAGCCAGGCTGGTCTCAAACTCCTGACCTGAGGTGATCCACCTGCCTCGGCCTCCTGACGTCCCAGGATTACAGGAGTGAGCCACCGTGTCCAGCCAGAACCATGTTGCTTTAGATACGTACTTTATTCCCCCTGCCTCTCTTACTCAGTGTTGGGCTAGGATAAAACATCAGAATAAACAAGGACTAACGTCTCCTCCTGTACACTTACCGCAGTGCCTGGGCATAGACTGGATGTCTCTTAGCTTTTGATGCCACAATTTATTGCTCCCCAACATCATCAAGACATTTAATTACATTTTTGTTGTTTCTTGTTATTTCCTATTGTTACAAACTAGTGTTAGAACACTTGTTTCTCCCCAGAGAAATAAATAAATTTTCTTTTTGGTTAGTTCCCAGAAATGAATGCTATGATCTTGAGACGGTTCAGTTTGCCGGGAGACGTGGACAGAGCGAGACAGTATGTATTACAGGTAAGACTATTTTTAAAAGCAAGGCAGCAGCAGGAACAACATGGCAAAGTCCTTTAATCCAAAAATGTTACATTTAAACTAAAAATTAAATTACAGATACAAGACTGGTCAAATCTTGATATGAAAAAAAAGTGAAGGGAAAAGTCAGTTTTCTGATTTTTTATTAATTTTCATTTCTCTTCTAGACTACTTATGAAAGATTTTAACTGGTCTTGGGTAAGGCTCAGACATTAATGTAAGGCACCTAAGTGATTCTGGTGAACTGTTAGGGTTGAAGCCCAGTAGTGTGGAGCCAGCCTTCCCTGTGTATCCATCCACAGAATCACTGGGCTGCCAGTCACCCAGCTTGGCTCTAGCCTCATTCATGTCCCCATCTGGGCTGCAGCTGGACTGCTGCAAATAGTCAACTCATAATTGGGCTTTCCTAGTCCGTCCTATGTGACTGTTATAAAAGTACTAAAATGATCATTCAAAAAAGTTAAACCAACTTAGGCAAATATACATTTATATAAATGTTTTTCTTCTAAAGGAAGAATGGTTTAACCCTGTTCAGGGGCCAGTGGCTGGTTTCAGATATATTGCCACGTATCTTCAGAGCTTTTCTGTGGAAGCCAGATCCCTTTGCATGACTTGAGTTTTGGTGACTGACTGTTTTGAGAATGAGCCATTTCCAAGTGCACTGTCATTTGCAGCCAGCAGACCTACTGGATGAGATGGAGGGAGCGAACAATTGTTACAAAGCAACTGTGGCATGAGATCTATACTTAGTACAGTACTTGAAAGACTTCCAAGTAATTACCTTTCAGACTTTTAAAAGATTTTAAAAAGCAACCTCCAGCCCCTAAAACGTTATTTTTCTCTTTTAACTGACTGTACTGTTAAGCTTTGTAATTTGCATTACTGCTGTTTTTGGAGAATGGTTTGAAAGTACTGTTAAAAACTATGGGAGCGAGCTATAGCTGATAAAGAAGTCAGTATCCCTGGGAGAGGTTCTGGCTTCAGAAATAACGTATATTATTGAGGGCTGGAGTGAGAAGTGGAACTGAAAAGCAGGAAGTTAATTGTAGCACCGATGGAAAATAGCAGAGTTCCAGCAGTCCCAGCCAGAAATGCATTTAGAGAAAAAAAATCCACGGGAATGTTCTCTAAACATGTTCTCCAAAATTCTAGCTCCCTGTTCACCCACAGAGCTTCTAGTCCCTATTCCCTCATTAAATGTGAATAGACAACTCAAGATTACAAAAGAGTTGACTAAAGCTTGCTAAACAAAAGAATAGGACCAAAATAACAACAACAAAAAAAAACTTGGGAAAAAAAATAAGAGGATCCAAAATGATACCACATTTACAAAACAAGTCAGGATCATACTTTTTAAATGAGTAAGAGCAAGCTCTAAGAAACTGAAAATGACTGTGAGGAACAAACCCCAAAGGGCTGCAATGTGAAACTGAGAAAATCTTCCCAAGTGTAAAACAGAAAGAGGGAAAAGTGAAAAGTAAGAGCTAAGAGGACCAGTACCATCATGTAGCAAGTACTTCAGGAAGAAAATAAAAGTGTCCTCTCTGCAAGGAAAAGGTGTCAAAACTGGCTCAGTAAAAGGCAAAAATACTGGATGCTAGAAGGCAGTGGAGCAAGGTCTTCCAAATGAGGATGACACATTTTAAACCTAGGATCCATTAAATCTGAAGGCAAAAGAAAGTCACCACACATCAGGACTAAAACGTTGACTTCCCATGAACACTTTCTGGGTAGGTTATTTGCAGATGTACTTCAGCAAAATGTGTGGAAAACAGAGAAGGCAGGCTTCTGTACAAAAAGGCACAGCAAACTAAAATGTGTCATGTTTTAAGCAACTGGTATAGAAAATCAGAAGTCTTTCAACCACAGTGTTAGGAATATTCTATTCTAAATGACAGAGGGGGCCGGGCACAGTGGCTTGTGCCTGTAATCACAGCACCTTGGGAGGCCAAGGTGGATGGATCACTTGAGGTCAGGGGTTTGAGACCAGCCTGGCCAACATGGTGAAACTCCATCTCTACTAAAAAGCCAAGCATTAGCAGAGCGTGGTAGCACATGCCTGTAATCCCAGCTACTTGGGAGGCTGAGGCACAAGAATCCCTTGAACTTGGGAAGCAGAGGTTGCAGTGAGCCAGGATCATGCCACTGCACTCCAGCCTGGGCAAGAGACTCTGTCTCAAAGAAACATATTAAAAAGAAATGACAGAGGGATCATGAGCCATGGAGAAAGAAATAGAATTATAGTACATGACTTGATTCTGCAGTAAATATTTTTACATAGAAATGATACTTCATTAGTATTTGGCTTTTAGAGAGAACCAATATTTTAAAACATGGTTACGGAATAGAATGTGTATCTATAGTGTAACGGTATGGTTACAGGAAGGACAGGAGCACTGGTATACAAGATAAAATCAGAAGTTTGGCTACCTAACAGAAGTATTCAACAAAATAAAGAGAGCAGTGTAATGATCAAATTAGGAGGCACAGTATGGGTAGGCTAAATCCTCATCTGAACAAAAAGGTAACAGATAATTACTAACCTTGTTAAGAAATAAAAACTAGGCTGGGCAATGTGGCTTTATGCCTATAATCCCAGCACTTTGGGAGGTTGAGGAAGGTGGAGATCATGAGGTCAGGAGTTTGAGACCAGCCTGGCCAACATGGCAAAACCCTGTCTCTACTAAAAATACAAAAATTAGCCAGGCGTGGTGGCATGCACCTGTCGTCCCAGCTACTTGGGAGCTGAGGCAGGAGAATCGCTTGAACCCAGGAGGTGAAGGTTGCGGTGAGCCAAGATCCCTCTGTGCACTCCAGCTTGGGTGAGAGAGAGAGAGACCCTGTCTCAAAAGAAAAACTAATTGATAAAGTAAGTGCCTTTGGAAGAAAGGAACTTGATTTTCATCATAAACCCTCTGTACTTTCATTTTATGTCTTTGTTCTTTATTTCTTAAGTTTTACTTTTTTTTCTTACATTTAAAAATTTGTATAAAGATATTTTGTATGTGTAGAACTTTTAAGAAACTCTAATACTTAAGTAAAAATTAGGGGGAGATGGATGACTATGTAATATTGATGAGCTAGGTGCTTCGCATGCTAATAGAATAAAAATTTGCTTCTATATGAGAAAAAGAAAGCTATGCTAAATGAAGTTAGGACTATGAGTCTGGCAATGAACATTAGAGATGTAGTTTGACTGTTAACTGTAACCCTCAGCTCATCTGATCTCAAAACTGTGTTAATTTATTATAGCAGGAATTCAGTCAGTGACAGGCATCTGTTTTGTTCTGTATCTCGTAGAGTGATGGTGTGCAACAAACAACCTACCTCGCCCAGCAGTACTGCCATAAAGCAATAAGAGAGATCAGTAAACTTCGACCATCCCCAGAAAGAGATGCCCTCATTCAACTTTCAGAAATTGTACTCACAAGAGATAAATGACAGCTCTTCCTGTTCTTTCTGGCAGCTATCTTACCAGACTGTGCCTAAAGAATTTTATGGAATACACTGTTTGCTTCATGTGCAGATAACCAAAAATCATTTTAAAAGATATCACTTATTGATGGGCAATTTATTTTTTTTTTATTGCAAAAGTTTTTCCAGAAAACTTTTTAAATGTAGTTAAACCATCTGAATCTGTCATTCTAGTCCTATAAATTCTAATCGAGGTATCTTGGTTATATGTGGTATTGTTTACACTGTTAATATCCACATGTAAGGCCATTATACAAATAAATGATAAAATTCAATGGTTTGTTTTGGTTTACTATAGGAATAAAGGTCAGAAAAATGTGAAGTCTGCATTGAAGTCCACGAGTTATATTTTAACAGTATCCAAAATTTCATATAGGAGAATGGTTTATTATAAAAGACTGTACATAAAATTTAGACAATAGGTTATATACAAATTAAGAGAACAATCCACTTGAAAAATGAAAAGAAGGTAGCTACCTGATCACTAATGACACTGTTTAAAATTAACAAAGGCAAAATGCACATGAAATAGTCACATTGATTTGATTGCAATAATGTTCTTTAATTTTCCGAAATAAATGTTTTGCACTATTCTTACCATTCACTATGTTGTTAAAAGTCTGTAACGTCCAGTATATAACGGTAATTTGAATTCCAAACAAATCCTCAATAACACAAACCCACACTTGAGTGTTCTACTTTAATATCCTAGACAATATAGAATTATACACAAGATAGGAAGAGAAAACATCCCTCAACCCTCCCTTAAGAGGAGACACACAAAGTGCATGTGTTGCATTTCGATCACGTCAAAAGACAGTACAAGTCTGTTGGTTAGGTAAATCTCTGTTCACTGATGAATACATGACCCACCTTCTTTCCCAATTTTAAAATTCTAATGTTGCTAGTGCCAGGTAATGGATTCAACAGTGCCTATTCACAAATCAACTGCATCCACTTTTACAACATGTAAAAGGTACTTTTAATTTCCTTTCATTGAACCAGTGTACAACAGTGCACTGTAAAACTGAAGGACATGGCAATCCTTAAGAATTTTACCTACAGAATGCATACAATTTGACATCTTTTCTTAGCTTCAAAAGATTCTTTAAAAAAGGAACTCAGTAGACTGACTCATATATACCACTGCAGATTCTGAATCTGCAAAACTCCGTCACATTGCTGTTGGGACAGATAAGGCTAAAATTTTTTACCAAGTTAATATATTGAGAAAATAGAACCATAATTCTTCAATAAATCATTCTTTTATTTATTTTTTTTTTTAAAGCAAACCAGTGAAGGAAAGGACAAAAACCTTTGGTTCACTTATGTATTTATGAATGGAAAAAATTTATAATGCAAATTTCACTCATTAAAAAACTTAGGTACAAATTACAACATTATAGATAATTCTCTTTTTGCTTCTTTTTTGTTTCACATGGAGACCTTGAAGACTCAATTCATTTTAAGACACCTAAGTACGAGTCTTCCAGGTAAGTATTACACAATTGGAAGCATCTTGGAATTTTTAAGTATATTTCAATACATAAATTTTTATGCATGCTTTAAACAAACAGTATTTTTTTAAATGAGAGAATCTAACCAAAAAAGTATGACCAGCACCAGCATTTAAATCTTCTGATTGTAATATTAGTCTGACATAGCGTTAGTAACCATGCTGCACTGAAACAGGTAATGGTACAATCTGAACCATGATTCGTTAAATATTATACCCCACTTCCCCAGAATATTTAGGCTGGTCATCAAGTTAAAAATGTGTAAGTACATAAGCATAATCAGTTATGGACAGCTTCTTGTATAAACTGCTATTTAGCAATACACAAGCTGCCTCAAAGATTTATGCTTACAGGTAGACATTCAATTTACCAATAAAACAGCATGTCCTGAAAATATGGGCACATTTTAAAACATATTAAGACAGGTCTGTTAACCATAATAGTCCCACAGTATGACTGAGTAATAAGAATCTACTTTAAAAGCAAAAAAAAAAAAATTAATCAGTATAGTGCATGATTGATTCAACATAGTTCCCAGGGAACAAACCAGTCACTCGATTGCAGACTCCTTCATACCAGCCATCATCATTCTTCTTTATAACATAAATGATTGCACCCTCCATAAATGACAGCTCATCATCCTTGTCTTTTGTATAATCATATATTGCAACAACTATGGGGAACAAAAATGAAATATCACATGAGTGCACTATATCCAACATTTACTTGAATTTTAAGACAATGCCAAATATACAGCACAGCAAAACTATTTTTATGAAGATTCTTAATTCTTGTATTTATCAATATGTCAGAGGCCAACCATGTACTTAAATCACTGGCTTAATCTCAGGGCCAAATGACAATCTGATTAGACTGAAGAGGCCAATAGGTTCTGTCAATCTCTTTAAAAGAGCTCTCTGAATTTTAGAATTTATTAGATGTTTCAATTCCTTCAAATATCTACCAAGTGCCTATCATATGCAAAGCACAGCTTTTCAAGATAATTATAAGGCAAAGAAAGCTACATAGCCATTCAGTAGCAGGTAACAACCCAAGCTATCCAATTTGAAAATACACAGTTACTGGAAGGTAAATCACATCCTACTTATTCAGGGACCCATGCTAATTTGTGGGACTACTCCCAGATTTCTTAAAAAGAATATTTACTTACTCTTAAAGGATTTTAATTAGAGAAGTTTGCAATTCTGTGGTATCTGTGGTTCTTTTCAGTTCAAGATACAGGTTGAGTAACCCTTATCTGGACTGCCTGGGATCAAAACTCCTTTGGATTTGGGAATTTTTTCAGATTTGGAATTTTACATACATATAATGAGATATCTTGGAGGTGGGACCCAAGTCTAAACACAAAACTCATTTTTGTTTCACATACACATAGCCTGAAGGTAATTTTATTCTTCCCCTGGGAACACCAAATCAACTGTGTCATTCGCCTGCATTTTGACCGTGACCCATCACATGAGGTCAGGCGTGGAATTTTCCACTTGCGGCATCATGTTGGCATTCAATAGTTTCAGATTTTGGAGCATTTTAAATTTGGGACTTTCAGATAGGGATGCTCAGCCTATATTCACTTGCTCTGCAAACTTGTAGAAAGAGAAAGCAATCTAAAATGTACAAAATGGCCCATGGACAAATCCAAACCACCGCATTTTGTGAAAATAAAGCTCGATTGCAATAGGGCCGCATCTGCTTACTCATGTATTGTCTGTCTGCTTTTACACTACCACAGCAGGACTGAGTAGTTGTGACAGAGACTGTACAGCCAACAAAGTTTAAAATATTTACTATCTGGCTTTGTACCAAAAAAAGTGTGCCCACCCCTAGTTTAAGATTATTATTCCAACTTGGGAAGATACTTTTTCATCCTGCTCTTCTATTAAGTATATTAACCAATATATCATTCCAAATTTGTCAACTTATATAAATATGGTCCCATTTTCATAGTTATATTTGCTTTACCAAATAAGCAAATAGGGGTAAAATCTCGATTCAAGGCCACTCAAGTTTATCATCCTCATAAGTAATAACACCTATTTGAAGGTATATGGGAATCTAAAGTGGAATATTTTAAGACTTTCTTAACAATATGTAAATTATCGGCCTGGCGCGGTGGCTCACAAGGTCAAGAGATCGAGACCACCTGGCCAACATAGTGAAACCCTGTCTCCACTATAGTACAAAAATTAGCTGGGTGCGGGGGTGCGCGCCTGTAGTCCCAGCTACTCGGGAGGCTGAGGCAGGAGAATTGCTTGAACCCAGGAGGTGGAGGTTGCAGTGAGCCGAAATCGCACCACTGCACTCCAGCCGGGTGCCTGGCGACAGTGTGAGACTCTGTCTAAAATATATAAATAAATATATATATATGTATGTATGTATATGTATATGTAAATTATCTACTGTTTAAACATATAAGGCCAGGTATGGCTCACGCCTGTAATCCCAGCACTTTGGGAGGCGCCAAGGCGGCTGGATCACTCGAGGCCTGGAGTTCAAGACCAGCCTGGCCAACATGGTGAAACTGTATCTCTACTAAAAATACAAAAATGAGCCAGGTGTGGTGGCGGGTACCTGTAATCCCAGCTACTTAAGAGGCTGAGACAGGAGAATCACTTAAACCCAGGAGGTGGAAGTTGCAGCGAGCTGAGATCACACCACTGCACTCCAGCCTGGGAGCCTGGGTGACACAGCAAGACTCCATCTCAAAAAATAAAAAAAATATATGAAAAGAAAACAAATGGGCGGGTGCAGTGGCTCACACCTGTAATCCCAGCACTTTGGGAGGCCAAGGCGGGCAGATCACGAGGTCAAGAGATCGAGACCATCCTGGCCAACATGGTGAAACCCCAGTCTCTACTAAAAATACAAAAATTAGCTGGGCGTGGTGGCGCGTGCCTGTAGTCCCAGCTACTCGGGAAGCTGAGGCCGGAGAATTGCTTGAACCCGGGAGGCAGAGGTTGCAGTGAGCCGAGATGGCACCACTGCACTCCAGCCCGCCACCTGGTGATGGAGTGAGACTCTGTCTCAAAAAAAAAAAAAAAAAAAAAAAAAAAAAAAAGAAAGAAAAGAAATTTACTTTTGCCACATATCTAAAACTTGGGCAGGAAAGAATGCTGCTGGTCGAAAGAGTTACAGCTACTTGCTTAAAGTCCACTGACCCAATTAAAGCCAACAGAAGGAAATATATTTCAAAGGCAACCAAAAGTCATCAACTAAATCACAAGAATTTTTCAGAACTCTATAGAAATACAGATTTTTAATTGATTCCCACTTCTGCAGAAAGAAATACAGATTTTTAAATAGCACAGAACTGAATGAAAAAAACTCTAAAACAGGGTTTCTTCCCCATCTATATTTCTTAATAGATTGTTATAGTGAATATTGGATACTCTAGGTAAATTAGACTTTAGAGCAGTTCATAATTTCATAAAATACAGTCCTGGTAATTTGTCTTCTCTTTTATAAAATCGCCTAACTGAAACCTTAATTGAGGCTTTCCTCATGATAGTACCAAGATATTTTTAAAGACAGATGTTCTTCCACTTAACATCCGATTGGGTTATGTCCCAATAAACCCACTGTTTAGTGGAAAATACTGTAAATTTAAAGTACATTTTCAACTTATAACTTATATTTTTTATTTATAACAGGTTTAACCAGACAAAGCACCATCATAAGTTGAGAAGCATACTGAATGCATATCATTTTTGTACCATCATAAAGTTGAAAAAGCTCCTAAA